GAAAGCATCAGTTAGATTGGTCGTTACTATGTCGTATAATTTTGTATAAAAAAAAGCAACTGTGCAGATAAAGAGTTACTAAGATTTTGTCTGCATAAGTAAATCGTACAAATATGCAGTTTATATATCGTTTTCGGTTTGGAACGCCGAAGAGTTAACGATACCCGTATGTCTTCGGCAGAGGAACGCCAGTCGACCCGCTCCTCCACTGCAAGATCACGCCTAACAGCAATAAGCACACCACCTCCCAACGTTTCATTTGTAACATTATAGTTTCTATCACGTCTCCAAACAACATGACGGTCATCAAAGAGCTTGTTACTACAAAAGTCATCGTTAAGCGACGTCTCCGTCAAGCATATAACATCATAATTGTTAAAACATACATTTCTCAGAAAATTTGATGCCTTTGTTCGTAGACCACGTACATTTTGATAGTAAATTTCAACAGCCATCATTAAAATCATTCAAAAACACAGAAATAGCGCTGAAAATGACATACCATAACATAAAAAGAAGTACGAATACGCACCTAAAGTGTGGTGGTAAATAAATAATATTAATAAAAAGCATATGGATGTGTTTAACTACAGCAAATAACAGCGCCATTTGTTCAAATTGTAGCAATCATTAAAGAAATAAGATGCATAATGTGTAGTATAAATATCAACGAAGAAATATTGATTATTTGTACAACAGTAAAATACCGCAAGAAATAATTTAAGATTTGTCAAACTAAGCGCTATCTTAATTAATATCACATAAGGTGTAAGGTACAAATAAAAAATGCACCGAGCAGCTATTAAACCAAGCGACAACAGAACAACAACGTGTACCGTCAGTGATAAAATAAGTAAATAGAATAAACTTAACGTACCAGTGTTTCTCAAACTTGTTTCACAAATTGATATAGAAATGAACAAATTTATATTCAGAAAATCTTCTTTAAATCTGCTTCCGTTTTTATTGCATATGTAGGAGATGTCCCATTCTTTTTCATTAGAATTGTACAGTTTTTTACCCATGTATAAGAAATTTTTTCTCCAAGCAAGAGCTTTTGCCTTATTAAGTAGCTGTTTATTCTTAAACGTAAGGTGGTAATTGATGAAAGTCCTGCTATCACTTCTCAATCCTAAATCCGCAGCAGTTAAAGTTTTACATTTTTTAGCAGCAGCTATAAAATTATATAATAGTAAATTTGTAGATGCGACACGCACGCCACCTACTGTTAGTTTATTGTACTATGCCCATAACCTTCAAAGCGAAGTGAGTTAAAGTTGTTGAGACGAGTTGAAGTGCAAGCTATAAGTTGACAGTTTTAGTTAGTTTACTGATAGATTGTATGGCAGCGCATAAAATACGAACAAATAAACATTATTTTTTATGTAGATTATACCTATGTAAACAACTGGACAAATTATTAGGATACCACACTGTTAGGGGTAAGACTACACTCAAACTGAAATAAAGTGTCTAGGTCACGGTACGTGCTTCCAGTCGACGTTATTTACAAACAAGTGTGTGCGAAACGTTTGGAATGCGGTTCGTGGTTTGATACGGCGCGTAGTTATCGCGATAAGAGCCATAATGTTGGCCGATAGCGGTAACGCCACAGGTGTGCTAAATCTTGTAACCATAACTCGGAACGATTATCCTGAAGTATCCCATGCAATATGCAAGGCAATCTTCTTTTTTAACGAATAAGAGTGACGAACTCGCACATAGTCCACCTGATGATAAGTGGATGCTGTGGCCCATAGGCATCTACATCTGTCGTCGGTCAAGAATCAAAATGTAGGTGCGTTGCCGCCCCTGAGCTCTTAGAAGGCAAATAGCGTTACTAGTTAAAAATATTTCCTGTTCTTTACACTCACCATACGAAACACAGCAACATTAAGCTGCTATTTTAGGCTGGTATTGTGTGAGAGCGCGGTTCTTCCCCGATTGAGCCGACCTATTGGTGCTACAACCATGATAGAGCTTCAGATTGGCTCTACCACGTATGATCAAATTCTGAATACAAATATGCCTTCCGTAAAGAGAAAGTCCTAAAACTTCCTTGTTTGTTGATATTGGAGTCTTTTTATAATTGAGATACTTTTAAAATTTAAAACAACTACAATCTATAGCTATGATTCGTCCGATGTAACGATTGTTCTGTAAAATCGGTGGTAGGTTTGGACGCAGTGTCAAATATACATAGCATCAGGACCTACTACTACTGTCTACAGCACATCTCACGTCAAGTATAGAATATAAATAATGATAACGAATTACTCGCTAGCATACTGTTGACCTTCCGAACTTGTTCGGGGCCGTCTGAAAATCGGCAAGCTCGCCGCTGATGTTGAGATGGTCCCTTTCACCACTTTATTATACCACATGATTTTTATTTTAATATGTGTGTGTCTGTGTATGTTTCCATACACATATAATATGTGTACTTTTTTTTCTTAATAAGTCATTTTTCCTTTAATTGTAATGTGTCAAAGTGTAGATGTAAGCGTTAGAATAAATTTCTTCATGTCTTTGTATAACAGAACAAGACACGAAACATATGTACTTATTCCCCCGGAAAAAAACCTGACCAGGTTGGGATTCGAGCCCTGGATTAGAAACGTTCTAACCAGCAGTGCGATTGTGTAACCCTGGTAGGAATCATTTGTCGATGGTAATCACTCCGCAAGTACTTTGTGTTTTGTCATTATGATATTATTCCTTTCATAATGTGAGGATGTCGTCATGACAAGAGTGAATTGGCAAATAGGCTTCCATCTACGGCTGCATCACTACTCTCAGACGGTATAGTAGTCAAGTACTGTCTAATAAGAGTAAAAAAGGATAACATTCTAGGTATAAATTTCATTTTATTTTAACGTGGTAGAGCCGTGCTGCAGTTATATTAGTAGTATAGTTGCAGCTCGAATGGGTTGGCTCGACCGGGGAGGGACCACGCTCTCACAGAATACCAGCGTCAAATAGTAGCTTAATGCTACTGTGTTTCGTATGGTGAGTGTAGAGAACCGGAGACTGTTTTTACTGGAAACGAGGCATTCCATCTTAGTCCTCACGGGTGACAACGCATCTGCGTTATGATTCGTAATCGAGGATAGATGTAGATGTCTATGAGCCACAGCAACCACTTACCATCAGATGGATGCTTAATGCTACTGTGTTTCGTATGGTGAGTGTAGAGAAACGGAGACTGTTTTTACTGGAAACGAGGCATTCCATCTTAGTCCTCACGGGTGACAACGCATCTGCATTATGATTCGTAATCGAGGGTAGATGTAGATATCTATGCGCCACAGCAACCACTTACCATCAGATGGATGCTTAATGCTACTGTGTTTCGTATGGTGAGTGTAGAGAACCCGAGACTGTTTTTACTGGAAACGAGGCATTCCATCTTAGTCCTCACGGGTGACAACGCATCTGCATTATGATTCGTAATCGAGTTTAAATGTAGATATCTATGGGCCACAGCAACCACTTACCATCAGATGGATGCTTAATGCTACTGTGTTTCGTATGGTGAGTGTAGAGAACCCGAGACTGTTTTTACTGGAAACGAGGCATTCCATCTTAGTCCTCACGGGTGACAACGCATCTGCATTTTGATTCGTAATCGAGGATAGATGTGGATGTCTATGGGCCGCAGCAACCACTTACCTATGTGTGCTCGTTTGTCACCCTATCCTATTAAAAAAATATATTTACACAATACATACGAAATGAAATTTCAAACATCAAAACAAAATTTTCCGAAAAATTCCAACGAAATTTTCACATTCGCACTGCTGCTGGTCCTGTACGCGGCGCTAATATTTTCTGACCCAACATTTAAAGACGTTTCTTTTATTTTAAAACCTGAAATTGCTTGCAATCATCCAATGATAATCCACGTGTTTGCTTCGTAAGAAACTGACATAAAATAGCTTAGCCTATGTGTTGTAGCATGTGTAAAAATTTATTCGCTAATGCTAACATCTTGTACTCATGCGTATACTTCTTTCTTAATAACTATAAAAATAACATTTATATGCGATAAGTGCATAAACCTTTACTATTTTTATAAGGCTTCGCCTTTTGCCAAAAAATAAAGTTGTGGAAACTTATGGTTTTAAATTACCTATCGAAATAAGCCAAACAACTCCGCCAAGTGGCCACAGTCGTAAAGACTATATAAGCTTCTTCATCACCCCAAAAGATTCCACTGCTGGACGCCATGTCTGCAGGCTGATTGGCGATTGTACTACTATACGTTTCGCATATTTGACGCTGCTCTCTGTCCCGGGAAATACCCAGACTACGTCTGGCGTAAACGAGTTCGTTATATTGTCGTGTCAAAAGCCAACACATATCTTTTTGGTATTTTTCACGGTCGACTGTAGCTTCTTACGAAACCTTCGGGCCGAAATGGTTTAAGTAAAAACTGTGCATAAAATTATGAATAATAAAATACTTATCAAATATTTCTTTTTCTTTCAGGTAATTTTAAAATGTCTTGAAAATTAATTTGGTAAGTATTATATTTATACTAATGGGTGTTCTTTATGTCAATACGGCTGCTGTATTAATGTTCCTTATATTTTTTAATTAAATGAATTTATTTAGCCGTAAATCCGAGTGTATTAATTTCTAAGAGATTAATTACTAGACATGTAACGAGTAGTGATTCGCCGAGTACTCGGCCACCGAGTACTCGGCCTAGATTGGGCCGAGTACTCGGCCGAATACTCGGCCGAATGCTCGGCTTTAAAAAACGCGGTAGCGGGTGGCGCGCGGTTATTTCCCTTACACAGAGACAGAGTAACAGCGCGATATTGCAGCGCGACGAATCTGTGCACGGGGAATTCCCTTTGAGCGGGGAAAACCGTAACTTCATAATTTATCAACTCATTTGTCACTTTTGTACGTGTATTCACGGAGAAGAGGTTATGCTTGTGTGTTTAATTAATTATTTTATGTAGACAACGCGTAATTTATAATATAACAAAATGTCAAGTAGTGCGAAAAGGTCGGGTGTTTGGAAATACTTTGTGGAGGTTGATAAAAACAAATCTAAGTGTAATTTGTGTGGAGTTCAACTATCACGTGGAGGTATGGGAAAAACTGCGACTACTTCGTCCATGAAAAGACATTTGCAGACTAAACATAAGTCGGAGTATGAAGAGGTTTTTGGTACTACAAGTATTGCTTCAAGTAGCAAAGAATTTGTCTCTCAGTCCAGTCAATCACAAGTGAGTGGTTTTTTGAAGCAGCCGTCTTTAGAAGATATGTTAGAAAAGAAAAAGTTGTGGGATATTAATGATTCTAGAGCAAAGAGGTGCCATTATTTAATCGGTGAAATGATCGCAGTGGATAACGAGCCATTTTCTATCGTGGAAAGTCATGTAGGGTTTCGCCGGTTTGTCAATAATATTTTACCGCAGTACGAGATACCAAGCCGAATATATTTTAGCGAAAATGTAATTCCAGATATATATAACAAAGTGGTGAACAATATCAAGTCAAGATTGGCACCGGTCAACCACATCTCTTTTACTACAGACATGTGGACATGTCAAACTAACAAAACTTGTTTCCTCAGTTGTACTGCCCATTGGTTAGAAGAAAGTTATATGCTTGGTCATGCAGTGCTAGATATAAAGGTTTTCCCAGAGAGTCATACGGCAGAAAACATAAAGAAAAGCTTACTCGATTCGGTTTCCGATTGGAACATACCAGCTACGAAAGTACGTGCCGTTGTACATGACAATGCAGCAAATATAACAAAAGGTGTGAAAGACGCAAACTTCCCTTCTTTTCGTTGTTTTATTCACACTCTGCAATTAGTAATTAATGACGCTATAGACGCTAATACTTCTGTTAAAGAAACAATTTCTGCTGCTCGACGAATCGTGACACATTTCAATCACAGTGGTTATAACAAACTTCACGAGATTCAAGAGGAACTTGGCCTTCCAAAAAAGAAACTACATCAAGATGTTATTACCAGATGGAACTCAACTTATTATTTACTGGAACGTATTATTGAACAGAGACGAGCTATTTCTGTCTACTTCGCAGAATCTCGAAATTTGAATTTTGAAAACTTGTCAAGCGATCAATGGGAAATAGTGTTGCAGTTAATCATATTATTGAAACCTTTTGAAGAAGTGACGAAAATAACTAGTAGCACGTATTCTCCTATTTCCGATGTAATTCCGCATGCTGTCACATTGATGAGATATTTACGAAAAGAAGAACTGTCGGAGAAAACGTATCAAGTTGATGATTTTAGAAATGCCCTCGTAAGCAATATGAACAAAGTCACGCGTTTCAATCTTGAATATTTGTTTGAAAACAGAACTTATCTCCTTTCGACCTTTTTTAGACCCACGCTACAAAATCAACTTTTATAATGCTTATCAAGCAGATCAAGCTCGCAAGGCTGTCCTAAGAGAAGCTCTAAAAATATCGCTAGACACAGAAGATGATGAACTTGTCATTGATGCAGAGCCAGCAGAAAAAAAGCTAGAATGATAGATAGAGATCATACTGCTTCTGAAGCTCATAATCTATTCTGGGAATGTTTTGAAGAAGCCGCTGACGCATCAACTAGTTACCAGCCTAATGATCCTAAGAATTCCGCTGCAGCAGAGTTAGATCATTACTTAAGCGTACCAAGGGCCGCAAGAGATGCAAATCCATATAAATGGTGGGTTTCTAATAAAGTTCATTACCCCATCTTGGGAAATATTGCGGCTCAATACTTATCAACTCCAGCCAGTTCAGTTTACAGTGAACGGCTTTTTTCAGAGGCGGGCTTAATATATGAAGCAAAAAGGAGCAAACTAGACCCAAATAGGGCCGAAAAGCTAGTGTTTTTGCATCACAATCTTCCTCTCTTAAATTTTAAATATTAGTAAGATCATAATTTCTATTATAGATTCTTATTTACGTTTTCAATATTTCTGCTGTTTGTCATGTTCCTGATGTTTTAATGTGTCTAATATAATAATAATGATAATAACTGGCTTTTTGTCTTTATTTTTCCCTGCAATATAATTAAGGCCGAGTACTCGGTAATCGGCCCTTAATATTCGGTGCTCGGCCGAACCCTAAAAAACGGCCGAATCCGCCGAGTACCGAATCCAAACCGAGTACTCGTTACATGTCTATTAATTACAGATATAAAGAGGTCAAAGACTCACTTTTGACATTTTCACATAGTTTTTAATATATTAAATTATTAAATTTTTATTGCCTTACTCATAAAAGTCAACGTTTAAGAAATGCTTAATGTTGCTCTTTCTCTTTTCATTAGATGACAATATAAAGAGACAGGTATAGAGATGATTAATATTAAATTTAATTAAGCGATAGTCAAAGATTAAGTTAGGTTGATAATATTTAACTACAAATGAAAACAAATACAATAGAAGAAAGAAATTAATTGATAAGTTTTATAAATGAAAAAATTAAGAATTAATTTCTTCGTTATTGTATGTATGTAAGCTTTGATCAATTTCTTGAATTTGATAAATGTGATTAAAACTACTTTTACGGATTTTATCGCGTTTATTTTTTACTTTTTATTTACTTTTATTTTTAATTCCCGACGTTTCGGGCGCTTTCCAGCACCCATGGTCACGGGGGACTGAGATGACTGACGTCCCGATGTCATTGTTAAACCCGGAGTACCTTCAGCTTTTTTAATTATTGTTTATGGTCCGACCTATGCAAAATGAACTGACTATGTCCTGAGGTCTTGCAGTGGTATGCTTGGGTTTAGTTTTAATTTTATTGATTATAGGATCCCAAGCAGGTGGTAGTACCCAGCCTCCTTCTCTATTGAAATTAGGATGTTTTTTAATTTCAATAACCTCACGTATCATCCTTGGTAGGAATCGGTGTTCTTTCGCGAGGATTTGTGGTCTATCAAATCTGATGTAATGGTTGGGTCCGTCTAGGATATGATCACAAACTGCAGACTGATAAATGTGTTTGGTTATTTATTAGTTATTTTAAGGAGCTATAATGAAGTTAAAATTTACAGCCGGTTTAAAAAAAACACGCTACAAGAAGCAACTGTGACATCGTTAAAACATTTCAATAACTCTTGAAACAATCAGTTATGCAAACCGCTCATACTGAAACTTATGTGGTAGAGCCATACAGTATATCTTCGTGGTTTTTTACTGGCTTCAAAAAGTGATACCTCCAGTATTCAATACAACACGACTGTATGTTTATTTTAATGTGTGTTACCTCATAACTTTTCTCTGGGTGAACCGATTTTGATGATTCCTTTTTTATCTGAAAGCTGGTGCTTCTCGTGTGGTCCAATTAAAAATTTAATCAAAGATCTGACTAGTTGTTTTTGAGTTATCTTTAATAACGCGTATTTCATTGACTTCTAATACATTGATGATGTTCTCATTTTATTAAAGTCTGTTGTACAAAATTTTTAATTTTACCATTTGTTACTATCTCGTTCTTAATACAAGCGCAAATAGCATTGTAATGCTGCTGTTTTATATGATAAATGACATGAAACGAAGAACCATTTTACTGTAAGAAAGTCTTCCTTTGTCCTCAGTGGAGAAAAATGAAACTATTTTTGAAATAACTAAGTGGTTTTGAATTAAATTCTAATTTATTAATTTCTAAAGTTGTCGCAATTCATTTTGTTTTGCTTAAAGTATATATGATAATTAAATTTATCGCCACAAAATCATATATATAAATCAATCAAAAAGTTATACAAAATAATATATATAAATCAATGCCCAAAATACGATATCGAGCAAGGTCTTAAATCCGAAAATAAAGTAACTACGCGAATATAAAACAAAATTAGCGTGCGTCGGTCGAATATAAATACAGCGACATCAAACGGCGCGGCGCAGCGGGCTAAATAGCGGGAGGTGACCTTGAACCAATGGCGTTGGAGCGACCCGTCTGGATCCGCTTTTTTGCCTTTGCCTTTCAAACTTATCGATAAATTTGTTATCCCACGAACTTGTGAAAGTAAGTCTTGTCGAGTGTTTACCTGAGTGTAAACATATATACATAAAATCTTTTAAAGACAGAGTGCACAACAGTCGCATATTTTAATATGTGATAAGTGATAACGATCGCGTGTCTCAGTGACAGCTATATCTAGATCCTATGTTGGAACCGGCTAGAGGAGTCTAGATTTGATGTGAATGTCCCCGCGTCTCTGACAGTGCATGAGGTTAATTTTTTATATATTTTTTTTATATTGAACAAATATGATAAACGAGCATACAGTCATCATAGACATCTACATCTATCCTGGAATAAGAATCAAAATGCAGATAAATAATAAATAAATTATTTGTTTCATTAAACATTAAAGTTACAGTATGTGATCAGTGATCGAAATCAATGAATCGAAAATAATGCCTGTAACAGGTGACTTCTATGGCTAAGAATTACAATATTATTAACGGAATAAATAACTTATAGGAAATAATAAAGATAATAAAAGCATGACTTTAGTATCTTACCGTCAGTCTCATTACATTAATACATCAATAGTTATTAGGTTGTATTTTACATTTATAATGTGTATGTGTTTTCAGTAGGTGTAGTATGTGGTGTGGTATACAAATTTGTGTATGTTGTATGAGTAGTGTGTGAGTATGTATTGTGTATGGGTGCAAGTATGTGTATATATTCATTTAGTATCTGTATTGTAATAATGTCTCGGTTTTCTCATAATTTAAGGGAGTTAAAAAATGTGTAATCAATTTCTTACATTCTTATTTTGCTGTAGATCTCTAGTTCTTTATTTAATTTGTTGTATAGTAAATCGGAGCGACTTGAGTATTGTTTACTAGCAAACGCAGTTTTGGATTTATTTAATGCAACGACAGCTTTTCTTGTTTTTTGTTTAATGCTGTCATCGTAAGTTAAAGTTTTATGTTTTTTTTTATAATACAGTGAGTAGATTATACAGCTTACCACTGATAGGACTTTAGTGATGGAGTAAAGTTTATCAGTTGGAAACCTTATTTTGAAGTGCATTACTTTTAAAAGAGTACGTTGTGCGCGTTTCACCTCCAACATTTTGGTTTTACCCGTCCATCCCCAGATTGAGATGCAGTATGTGATTGTGCTAACGCCATATAGATTTCCGTTATATTCATTTGGAAAAACCGGCTCCCGATTGCTCTCACGGCAATTTGACTTAGATTTACCTTGTCTGAAGCCAAATTGTGTAGAAGATAGAAGTTTATATTTGATTAGGTTATTTACGAGTCTAGTATTTAAAGAATTCTCTGTTATTTTTAAAATTGCCGGGAGAATTGAAATTGGTTTATAGTTACCAACATCACCTCGAACTCCACTCTTGTACATTGGAGTAATTAAAGATTTTTATAGTGAGTTTAGGAATATAACTTTTAGTTATTTTCAACTACAATAGGTGAGTTTTTTATCAGTTGATTTTGGTCTCACTCTATACGTATTTAACTTCAAGACTAGATTTTCTACAGTCTATATGCAATAATGCCTCTAATTTAGTTTCTAGCATAGTAATATGGTTCCTGTCCTACTTTGCTTAAGTTTCCAGTTCGTTAATTCTCTGTCAAAGGTTCTCATTTTTCGTAGTAACTGGTAAGACACGAGTTCTCAATGTTCAATATATAATTAGACTGCTGTATTCTTTAAGTAGGGCATTGACATTTTTAAGATCTGCAACTTGCGAAGCAAAATGGGATATCATTATATTTTGCATTTCTTCTTTAAAATCATCCATCTGGTCAGCAATCGAGACTTCCATCTGGGCTCTCCATCTCTTATTACGTTGAGAAACAAAGTTTGGCGGTGTTAAACGAGATAGTTCACCGATAGTGTACAGTTTCAGACGCAGATTTGTTTAAAATAATGTCCGTTTCTATTAAGTTTTTAAAACTGCTAGCTCAGGGCACGTATTTAATAATAGGTGTTTGCGGTGGAGTTCTCTTTAGCGACATCGTGTACCAGGATATAAGATAGTACAAACAGTAAACGTTAACGAGTGTAATTACTAATTAGTGAGCACAAACTAATTAGCACTATAAGAACAGGGAACAGAATACGTAGATTCTGGTGGTTATAGACGTTTTCATACAAAAATAATAATAAGTAATGAATGCGCTTACCGTTTTGGTTGATGCGCTCCTTCGTAATTGGACGATCTTAGTAACACCTCTGGAGATGGCAACAGCGAGATGCTGGGCGATGTTTCGGGTGACGACACCAAACAAGACAAGGACGGTGAAGCTATTGTAGCGATGTCTTCATAGTTATGCACTCCTATTATTTGATTTATTTTGCAAATTTGTTTTTATAATTAAATTAAAATTAAATAGTATAGCGGTTTAACATTTTATACGTCTTAACTCGTCGG